ACCTAAAAGGCATTTTTTAGTGAATCCGATTATACAGGAGATGGACGTCGCTTTCACTTAAAAAGGTGGTTTTGCGCGTCACAGTAAACTTCGAACTATATCGACAAAACAGAAGATAGCACAAAGTTTATGCAAGTTGGAAAAGTTACCACTGCACAAATGAGAACATATTTCTACCGCTTGCATCACACGCCTAGCCTGTGGGTTTTTAATTTATCGTTTAACTCGTCTAGAGACCAGTGAACTCCATCCGTTCCCAGGGAGTACCATAGTTGTTCCTTTGGCAGCTACTTGTACTTGGGCGTCTACAGGGTCGTGCCTTTTAGTACCAAGATTTTTCTATCGCTAGAGCGTATCCATGGAGAGGTTATTAGACTATATTGCTGTCAGCTTTCTCTTAACTAGACGTGCAAATAAAAATTCCGAGCTCCTTACCAGATCAAAGGATCATGCTACAGGAATGAACCAACAGCTTTTGTACGTCGAAAGAAACTCGACAGCCAGCATCTCTCGCCCGTGATGAAGCATTAAGCCATTGCAGCGTGATTGTATGGAGGTATACAATTTCCAATAAAATTTAAGTCGAGAAGAACGAACAAAAATCTGCTAGTTTTACGAGGAGTGGAGGCACTTTTTCGTTGGAGTATTTGTGGAGGTGGGAACTTAGCAGTGTTACATAAGAAAGTTCCTTAATAGCTCATATAGTCTATCTGTGTAAGATATTCCTCCGCTTTTAAACATGTTCAGAACCCAAGTGCTCGAAAAATTAGAAACAAAAATTTACATATGTATTCTTTCTTTGATGAGCTTACACGAGGTTGATAATGATGTTTATTTTCGGCTAACGTTTCGACGTCTTCGTCTTCCTCAGAGCCGACGATCCGAGTCGATGGTCCTCGCTTGTTATTCGTCTCGACGTGGCAGCTTCGCCTCCGTGTCGAGTCAGGTCTTCTTCAGTGAGCCATCTCCTCCAATCCTTACTCAGTGATGCCCTTTTATACACGATGCTGATGGTGGATATAATGATAATGTCCGGTGATAACAACTTGTTTTTCTTCCGGACATAATCACCGCGCGCATCGTGCAGAAGTCGGTGTTATTATAAGCTAGCACAAAGCATAGTAATATTTCGAAACTGACTCTCCTTGAACCTCGGTATCACTAATCAATATGTATTCTTTCTTTGATGAGCTTACACGAGGTTGTTAAAATAAAATAAAATAAAATAAACATCATTATCAACCTCGTGTAAGCTCATGAAAAAAAGAATACATATTGATTAGTGATACCGAGGTTCAAGGAAAGTCGGTTTCGAAATATTACTACGAAAATTTACACTGAAGATTTCAAACACAAACGTGGTTTAGAACAGCTGATATACAAAGATGGTGTTGCAAACGTCAGCGATATATTGGCGAAAACCATTGTGTTCTGCTGTACGAAATCCCTGCTTATTCAATTTTTTCGCCTTCGAAATACGATCCTATACGTAGAAAAAATGAAAGCAATACGTTCGTTGGCTTTAGAAGATCCGGATTTTTTCTTATTGGAATGAGGAAACTTATCTCTTGTAGGCTAAAACTTGTAGATTCCAATGGCTTTCATTGTAAGTAATAAATGTCAGGATGAGCTATGGGAAGTTGGCTTAGACACGATAGATGTCACCCTTTTCGCACCAATACATGGTCTTCAATATATGTCGGCGATTTGGCGTACAACGACGTTCGTATTTTCTACTTTGAGAGAAATTTGGGTGAATGCACTCTGTGTTTTCAAGGAAAGCCATGGAAATTCTTGTACTGCACTTTTGACAAGATTTTCCTCCTTTTCAGATTTCCAAGAGTGAAATTATTTCTGGTTATTAAGGTATTATTCTTCCACGAAACTTTATATATTTTTAGTAGTTTTTTTCTTCTGAAATAGAGGTGTGGACCTTTCCTTCGTGAGCACTGCTGGTTATTTTCGCCCTTCAATTCACTCGTAAGGTTCAGTTGTAATTAAAAATTCACCGCAACATACAATTAAATTCCAACTGAAGATTTCACCACTACCAAAAGAAAAATTTCATGTATTTGAATTAGTTAGAGATGTTTCTATTAAAGTATTTGTTTCTCAAATAGCAGACGAAATGCTTATAGAAGACGTTTGCTTCCCATAGTCATTACGACAAGAGTCTTTCAATGATCATAAGATACTATTAAGATATTGCTCTATCTTCAAGGCTGGTGATGAGAACACAAGTATATCATTAGAGGTAAAGGTGATGACTTTACGAAGTTTTCTTTTTCAGTAAACTAAGTTCGATAAATAAACACGGAAACCAGCGCTGCATACGATCGTAGAAAACCTCAGATAAAAATCCGCTAGAGAAGTAGAAATGTTTCTCGTCGGAATGTATTTGATCACTATCACGAAGAACAGAAATGCTTAAGCCTGTTTGTTGTTGGAAGGAAAAATGAGGTCAAATTGAAATTAGCTACCATATTATGGGCCAATTAGAGTAATTGCAGAAAAAAACAAAAAAAAGGGAAAAAAAGCGATCCATACGCTTTCGAAATATCATACCTCGAGTTAAACGAAGAAAAATATTAACCAGACTGAGTTATTCCGCTATTGTTGCAGAAGCACTAACGACTGTTTTCTCCGTAGAAAAAACTTGCAATGTGGTAAATAACAACGGAATCATCTATTATATTCCTATTCGGTCTTAGATCCAGTAGATAGATGTAACTGTGAAACTAAAAAAAGCCGTAGTTTAGCATTTCACAGGTAGTTGTACCAGTTTCAAATTCCGACCTTCGTTTAATATCAGCATGGATGGTCACTGTCTTCGTTAATTGACAAGCTTGCGTGAGGTTGCCTTAAGGATTATTCTTTCGGCTTTGAAGAAGTCGACGGCGTTTAAACATTAAATAGTATAAAGTATTGCAATATCCTCAAATCCAAGGGCCCATATATATTATCATTCGCATATTTCAACATTATAATCAGTCTTTTTGTAACTAACAGTCTACATGAAGGACTGGATCACTACGCTTTTTACAAGCTTATAATTCGATTCGATAACAGCAACCGTTGCGGAATTCTGGAATAAATGCTATGTTTGCCTTTGCATACTCTAATTTTCAGCTGCCACTCATGAATCCGTCCCTTCTAAAAGGCCGTCATCGTGGTGATTAATGCATGAGCCCCAGTGCTTCAATACGGCACGAACACGTGGACATCCTGTAGGTGTCGGGCGCCATAAGAACGATTATGAATTTTCCACATATATTTTTATCATTTTCTGGAAAGAAAATGCTTTGCTCAAGCTTCATCCTTTCTTAAGAATCTTTATTTGTTTAGGCAAGCACTGTTAATGGTAAATGTAGCGACAAGTTCCAGCGTTATGAACACAGTTCCATAATGTTTGTCCGCACTAGCCTTCGTAGAAGCTTTCTCTGATCATAGTGTTTTTATAGAACAAGACAAAAAAATGAATTGGCGAAAAGTGTAACCGGCATTTGTGTTGGCATATTTGGACTAGAGTAGAGGTGCAGATAACAAGTAACTTCATGATTTCTGACTTGATTAGGTCTTCACATGGTAGATTCTTGACAACTGCATTCTTATCTTCTAATAGATCTAAGTGGAGGAAATTGTATTCTTCAGTGAAGGGTGTGACGTCTCATTTAGAGAATTATCGACGCTCGTTGATCTGGATCTTAGCTGTGTACGAAAATTGTTGAATGGGTTAGGCGTAGGCAAAGATAACACCACTCTTTTTTCTCCTTCCTCTCCACTCTTGTTCTCATTCCTTTTTCTCTCTCTTTCTTTCTCGAACGCATCATCTCGGACGGCTTCAAAGTTGGGACCAAAGCGGCATATCAAAGGACATTTTGTAGAAGGGAGGATAATCCTTTTTGTTCGCATAGTGCGAAACAGTAACAAGTTGTCTAATCAGGTTAAATGCCGTCGCCATGCTGTTTTTGCGAACTTTTTTTCTTAGGTGGAATTGAGTTGCTTTACATATTCTGTTTACTCCATAAAGATCCTAATTCATAGGTGTTTAGCCAGGTCGGCCACATTTCATTCAGAGCATGCTCAATGTATCTTCTTTGCAACCTGGTATTTACCACCTAGCATCCAGAAAAACGGTGATGAATTAGGTCGTGTACCACGTGCAGCTCTGGGAAAACGGCATAACCAATTAAGCGCTGTGGCATCCGAATGGGCTGAAAGTGTAAGAAACATGGCGTTCACTCTGATGCATCGCTAATGAAATCGTACGAAGAGGTCATATATTATTCCAATAGACGACGGTGCGTTTAGGGCAATGAGTCTTCTACGTGCGAACTTCACACATTTTAGCCAAATCAAAGATTATGGATACTTATAAGCTATACGTTAAATAGTCGAATGTTTTGAATAAATCAGTGTTTTGTCTTGAGGTTTGACGTTCAACAGAAAATTTATAGTCAACCTGAATGTAAGAGCATTTTCACAGGTCTTCGTTATCTCTCACACACCTGTGATGGACAATGCCACTTTCCACATGACATTTATTCTTGAGGGTTGCGCACCCTTGATAGGATTGCGTTCTAATCCGCTGTCGCCTACTGTAGAAACGAAGGAGGCGGGGTTATCTGCGACGCCTTGTCCAGCCCCTTCACATGCCGCGTCTTTTCTCCGTCGCCTCCCACTTAGATTACCTACTTTCTCTGAAAAAAAATTCCCCAAAACATTTAAGATAGGACGGTCTCTTGTAAAAACGCATTTTTTGCGCTAGTGCTAGTCGGCCTTCTTAAAACATGCTATCAGGGCTTTTTTTGAACGTTATAAAAATTATGCACCTCATACTCACTTCATTGAAAATGTCAAACACGTCGGTCTTTTATTTCAAAAAACGAACCATTTTTTAAAAGTACCGCATCTTTTTTAAAAGTTTCAGGACCGTTTTCTTCTGGTCATCATTAAATAAGGACGAAATTCGGTAAAGGCTCCCCATTTTTTCAGAGCGCCAGAATCTGAAAAGGTGGCTAATGTTATTAGCAGTGTTGGCTTCACTGCAATTGGCACATGCTGCCTATTTCTCGCAGGTGATCATACCTATGAAATTTCCATCAGAGCAACCAGTATTTATGACTTCCTCGATTTCAGTTCTCAATGCGGGAACCTGACCATGATCCATGCTATGAGCCCACTGGACGGCCAGTTAGATGTGTACCGGAGTTTATTAATGCGGCTTTTGGTAAACCGGTCATCGCTTCAGATACTTGTGGTATGAACGGTCCATCCAGGTATAAATGTATATGTATTACATCTTTGAAATTTTTCGGCTTTTTTTGGAACTTTGTCATCGTTCGACGTAATTCGTCAAATTTTCTTACGATAACTTTGTGCTATTCTTTAGTCTTTTCATCATTAAATTAGCGCGAAAGGGACGAGGAGTCCCATTGCGATTGATGAGGACATTACGAACCTAGGTCTTTCAAAAGAATTGCTTACTAGAAAAATCGACTTACAACGAAACCGTTCAGGTTTTGCACCATAAAAGAAGGCGATGATGGTATAATGCGAGAAAGATGTGAAACATGTGATGCATCAGCGCCAGAGCAATCACACCCTGCTTCACTGCTCACCGACTTGAACTCTCCAGGAAATATGACTTGCTGGGTGTCGGAGCCTTCACTCAATCCTCAAAATGTTTCTCTTACTTTGTCACTGGGAAAGAAATTCGAGCTTACTTATATCTCGATGTATTTCTGTTCACGCTTGCCTGACTCTATGGCATTGTATAAGTCAACTGATCATGGCAAGTCATGGATTCCATTCCAGTACTACTCTTCTGATTGCAAGAAAACGTTTGGAAAGACACCTGACGTTGCCATAACAAAACATAACGAGCAGGTTTATATTTTAAGAGCAATGAACCACAGCTGTCAGAAGATATGAGCAAATTGATGTTTTAGGAGGCAGTGTGTACAAACGCACATAACATCGCTCCAGGTGGGAACCGAATCGCTTTCCCTTTCTTAGAGAATCGTCCATCAGCGCTACTATTTGAGTCATCTCCTGTGCTTCAAGACTGGGTGACAGCCACGGACATACGAATTACTTTCACACGTTTGACTCCTGATCAGGTCAGACCATTCCATCATTGCTCCATAAACAGTCTCATCAATCAAGGTATTAGCTAGATGACTGTTCTCATTCAGAGGAATCTATACGGCGTATCCAATAATGTGGAAAAATTATCAACCAACAATACTAGTGATACAAATAAACAACGCTACTTTTACTCAATGGGAGAGCTGGCAGTAGGTGGTAGATGCAAGTGCAATGGTCATGCCAGCCGATGCATATTCGACAAGATGGGCAGGGTATGCTGTTTGAGTTATGTGAATTGTGATGTGGACAATCAACAATGGATAATTTCAGTTCACCTGTGACTGCAAACACAATACAGCCGGAACGGAGTGTGAGACATGCAAACCGTTTCATTTCGACCGTCCCTGGGGGCGAGCCACCTCACAAAACGCAAATGCTTGCGTAGGTAGGAAAACTGTGAATGATGTTGATTGGAAATCTTTTTGATGTTCGTTGTCTCAGGGTTCATTATGAAGGGTCAAGTTGACTGAAAAAGTCTTTCGACCAGTTGAAAATTGCGCTGCGCGTTCGCTTTCATTATGTGTTTCGTGCATGTCTTGCATTTTCCTGTTTCGTTTGTGGACACACTTTTAAGGTTGTTGCATGATCGTTTCACTCATTGACGAACGTCCTTCTTCGGGTTTCAGTGTTCAAGCAGAGCACGCAAAAAAAGAGATCGTTTGAAAAAGAAGCCTATGTTGGTGGTCTGTCATGCGTTAATAATGGTCGTTTTTGCTTATGTGGTAGCTTTTGTTTGGTAGACAATTTGTGGGGTAGAATGGCGTGCTATTGACACCTCTGAAGGGGAAACGGCTCACCGGCTTTTGTATCGTACCACGCGGCCACTTCCGTCGACCTCGTACTATCCAAATAAGAGTTCGCACCAGCACGAGAAGAAGAATGCCTGATCGCATGTTTCACCACATCCACTAGAAAATTTTGTAGCACGGTTTTCATAATTCGTTTATCTGTGTTTCTGCTCCACCTCTTTTACTAACTAATCATTTTAATGGTTGTCCACAGCAATCGTTAACGAAAATCTTCCATTCTGTCGCTCATTTCGAGTAGGCCATCGTTCAAAGCATTTACCGCTGTTTTTTGACCCTCTCTGCCTCATCCGCCTGAATATTATTGTTCTCGCAATAAATAAAAGTGGATTAGCACGCGCTAGAGGCGGCAATGGCTTGTCCATGAAACCCTTTACATTTATGACGCTACCGGGTGGTCAAGAACGTTGAGATCTATGAAACAATTGCTTGCATTTTTTTTTACCTTTTTTAAGAAAAACTGATATCAAACATCCCATATTCTAGCGATTTAGAGCTTGAAATGGTTGTTGATAACTGGGTAATTGTGGGTTAAGCTTACACGTCAGGTGATAGCGATTGCAACATAGTGTAATATAATGACTTCGTCAATTTTCTTGGTACATATTAAAGTCTTTTAATTTTAGAACTTTTTTACGTGCTCGATGTGTGCTTTGTTAATAGATTTAGTGTGATCAAATGAATTGTGACAAGTGAAAAGCCGACCCGCTTCAATACGGTAGTCGTGCGCGAGCGCAGGTGATGGGTTTATTGTTCTCAGACCCCATATTAGCCAGCAATAAACAAATCGGCTAACTCAAATTTGCCTATAACAAGACGAACAAGTTGAAACAATTAACACCTTTCCATGACTGCCGTAGTGAAATGAACTCCACTTAACCGAGAGATTTTTTGTGAGGGTCGAACGCAAATGTGAACGTGAATGTTGTCGAGAGGCAGTGAAGATAGCGTCTTTGCGGCAAGCAGATGTGCTGTAAATTATCCCATCTTAAAGATAGTGAATGTTCTTAAGCTCAACCACGATCATCCATTTATGATTATGCATATTGCAGCGTGCAACTGCAATCTGCACGCAAAGCGATGCCGTTTCGATCAAGAACTGTATCAACTCAGTGAGAGCCGGTCCGTAATTTAATAAAGTTATGAAAGCGTTTTCCTATCAGGTGCTAAGGTTACACTTCAGAAGTGGTGGTGTGTGCATAAATTGTCGGCATAACACCATTGGACGTAACTGTCATCTTTGTAAGCCAGGATTCTTTCGTGACATCAGCAAACCTATTACCAACAAGAAAGCATGCAAAAGTACGTTTTCCTAGCATTACAATTATTTATAAATGAGAAGAAACAATTTCGATGACCTGTAATGACTCAGAACGCAGTTACTGGTTGAACACAATGTAGACATGTGTCACGCGTTAGTGACGACGCCTTTTTGTATTATCGGTTAAGCACGAATAGTTTTTTTTTTTGAGACTGATCAGTGAATTTTTGGGATGAGATACTAAGAAAGTCTTCATTAAGTGAAAATCGGTCAAAGTTCGCATTAAATATGGCATATTTCCAGATTCGGTAAGACGATAGTAATTACGTCGGACAGACCAGAGGGTTTTTTTTATGTGTTGGTACGCGCTCGTTTATCAAAATGGTGTTCATAACCTCGGAACATGCAATACGATTAGTTCTTTTTACGACTGTTATCCTCATACGATGCGCGTTCGTTTTATAACCGCAAAGAAGTGAAGGGAAGAATAGAATAGCCGAATGTTGATAATTTGAATGTAAAATTACATTGACCCTTAAAGTTACAATGGTATCGGCTCTGCTAAATTAAATACCTCAATTGTCCCATATTGAGAGGTTATTGGGTACTCACTGGTCAATTTCAGCCACCGGCCTATTCATTTGGACGAAGATTGAATTTCTGACCACCATGTTGCAAATGGCACAGAATTCTATTCAATAGTTCTTCCTTCCAAGGGATAGTCGTAACAAGCACTTCTAAATCATGTTGCCGAATCTAGAAAACAGACTAACGAAAATTATGTTATGATACATCGTTACACATGGAGATTTCATTACCTTCGCTAGGGCTGGCAGTTCCTCTACGATTTGTGCAGTAACTTGCCACTTCTGGGTATGCTTCGTTAGATCGATGCCACTCTCTGTTAACTGATTGAGAGCTAAATCCAATTTCGCTGATCCAAAAATTCTATCTGGATCTGGGAATGTTTGGTTATATATCTTGCTGGTGAAACCTTTCTTGCTTGCAATACGATGATTTATGATGTTTGGTCAGCGTTGTTTTTTCCCTGCAAAACCTGCAATAGTATCATGTGGTATTTTGAGGTGCTGATGATAAGCGCTTAATTTGAACACAGTTGTGTCAGATATCTCTATATGAACAGACAGACAAAAGAGCTGACACTCTACTCGTTCCTGTTGGCAATCGGGTTCCTCGACAAATTGCCCTCCGGCAGCGACTGATCGCTGGTGATCGATGTGCGTAACGCGATGCGTCCGTAAAACATCGAGTTACACAACCTCGGCCTAGATTACAAGCTGCTGCCATCGACTCCAGGGAGAAGAATGGGTGGGAGGGTATGTCATTAAATGTTCATGGACCGTCTTCCGCTCGAACTCGCCCCCAGTTATTCGACGAATTCTATTCCAAAGATCACGTCGATCTCCAATTTTCCAATAATTTCACTCATACTTAAATGTTTTTTCTGAATCAGCGAAGTTATTTGGGTTGTTCATTAACTATCCAACTTGTCTCTAGCTTATTAACAATATATATGCATATATATCTAAAATACTCCATATCTGAAATGAAAACGGAGAAAATCTGGAAAGTCATGGAACGGCTCACCATTTACTGAATTAAAAATTGAGTGCGATAGAGTGCTCAACCGGAGTCGGGTGTTTAGGGAATCTAATCTTCTGAAAAATCCAGTAACCTCATGACACCACAAAAGCGAGTAGCAATTATGCAGTACTAAGCATTTATACTCGTATTTTATGGTGTATTAATTAATGAGTGTTTCGAAATTAAGACATTTAAAGCAATAAATCTTCGACAGGAAACCTTTTACAGGGTGCTAAGTGAATTGTGAATTTCGTTCTTTTTCCTTAGAAGTGTTTAGAAAAATAAAACAAAATAAACTGTCTACTGAGGATAAGTCGTAGACTTTTTTTTACATAGGAGCAGTGGGGCCCAAAAAACACAGGTCGAGATCACCACTACTTTCTAACTTGCCTTCTCAAGTCAATTCGCACACAACTTCAATATTCAATTGTTAAAGGTTGTGGCTGTCATCCAGTTGGATCACTAAGCAAAAGCTGTAATCAGACGTCTGGACAGTGTGTTTGTAAACAGGGAGTGACTGGGTTGACATGCAACCGATGTGCAAAAGGTTATCAACAGAGCAGGTCGACCATAACTCCATGCATCAGCAAGTTTTACTCGTTCTTATCCTAATTATGTCAAGATGAAACTGGTTGCTCATAAGAAGTGCATTGTTGTTCCTCGGCTAATAGCTAATTATCGCAATGCGGAACGGCGCAGGCCGGCTTTAGTTATCTTAGACGACGTTAATCCTTCGTTACACAACGTGGAAAGCCATGTTCAACAACAGAAACAAAACAACGAAACTAAACTTTTACCGGATAATTTCGACCGCAATATTACAAATCGTCTCATCAAATCTTTGTTCCACTTTAGGACTTCCGGTGAAGGCTAGCGGCTCTGTCACAGGATCCGCCGAACAAGGTGCCATCTATTTTCCTTTACGAACACACACGCAGACATCAAGGCCATTACGAATTTCAGTTGATGAAGCCCCTTTCAAAATCGATAGAAGATGGTAACCTTGTAATGATTCCTTAGCGTACTTTAGGAGAATGTCCCAAATGCAGAGTTATGCCGAAACGGTTGAATCAGAAAAAATATTGCAAGCGAGATTACGGTAATTAATAAATCGATTTCCTCTACTATTTCTGTTTTCGAGGTTGCATATTGTTTTTCAGCCTTGCAAATCGTAGTGATAGGCAGAGAAATGGTGGACGGTTGGGCGCGATACCGTGTGGTGGTGGAGAACATGTTCAAGCGTGGTATGCGTGCAAGACGAGGAGAAACATCACTCTGGATGTCTACACATTCGGTGATGTGTAAATGCCCGAAAATTCGGATCGGTCATCGATACATACTACTTGGTTGGTTTAAGCACACTTGCTTTGTTAAAAAAAACGTAGGACAAATTCAAAAGTATAACACTTTTGTGATCCAAAATTCAGTTTGCCTTTGTTGACGAAATGTTGACCGGCTGTAAATTGATCCTTCCCATCGATGTAAAAATGCTGCACGAAAGTATCAGGATAACCACCCAGTCTTCTCAGGAGCGGGGAAGATAAGTTTTCTGCCTCATCAGATCCAAAGTCAATGTTTGGAACAATCATTGATTGCGATGCCAGCACACTCTTAGAAATGCAGGCTTTTTTTCACTTTTTGCATGGTATCGATTCATAGAACAGTCGAGGACAATTCTGCTGAGAATACCCACCGTTGTAATAATTATTCAGTAGCATGTATTGATAGCATATCATTTTTCCTCGCGATTGCTGAACAAGAAAACGACACATTCATATTCCAATGCCGAGGTTAAGAGAAAGTCGATCCCGGGAAATATCATTTTCTTTCAGGCAAAGTATATTCCTAAGAGACATGAGTGAAGGTTGCTGCGACAAACAGCGATTAATTGAAAGAAGCAGTTTTAATATGAATGTACGGCATTGCAGATGAATCGCAATCTTTTACAAGGTCACAAGAGCATTTTGCTGTTCGTTAGCCGATCCAATTGTTGTTTGTAGCAGACCGTGCTATGTTTAGGCGTTTCTGTGTGATGTGAGAGACAAATTTTCGAATTATGCAAATTTCTATGTCACATCGATTACGAGCGCGTTCGGCGACGACAGTTCGACGTGTTTCATCGGTCTCTTGGGATCGCCAAATTTATCACTTCCAATCGTCAACCATAAGCATTCGCAATATGACGACCAAAGATGATGGCGCGACAGGAGATGCTGCGGTTTTCTCGGACGAATTCTGAATACTATCGAGCAATTCCATAGCTTCTACATGTTTACTCGAACTAATTCACGAAACTTAATAGTCGCCCCGAACGGGATCCACCTGTGCTTTAAGTCATATGAACACAAGGAAATGCAAGAGGTTGCTATCGGTAAACACACACTAGTTTCAGTATATCAGATGTTAAATGGCATACTTAAATGTCACTGAATGCTTAAAATAAAAGCTGAACTACTGATATCAGTAAAGAAAGAGAAGGAAAAATTCAATAAAGTTGGAGCACGGATCCTGGAACATTTTCAGCTTCATTGATATTTTGCTAGCAGGGAAAGCTATTTTTTCCACTTAGTCCTAAGATAGTCGTGCCAGGATGTTCTAAGGACACACCACAGGCAGTAGACAACTCCGATAGACCGTAGAAAAACTAAGTTCATGTGCAGAAGTTGTAAACCAAACAACCGCTAAATGGACAGAAGGAAATGTTTTGGAATATGACCACTTACTAGTATTCTTACAGGTAAAGATGACGATGGCAATAATAGGCAAGGATTTGTAGTAAATGGGAAAACCGTACTCTCTGAATGGAATGAAGGTACCATGGATAAGGTAGCTACTAATTAAAATATATAATTCTTAGCTATCGAATCTATTTTAGAAGTCATTTACTGTTTACTTAAAAATCAACAAAATGAAAAGTTAGAGTTTTTTACCTTTATTCACTCTTTTGGGAACGTTTCTAAAGCAAGCCGTTTAGGGAATATATTTATAATTTAGAGAAAAGACTTGAAGACTTCTTCTCAGAAACGAAAGTGATTCTCACCACCAAATTTCTATTAGCTTCGGCATTAACCGACCAATTCTTTATTTCTTGTCAAGCAAACAAGGATGTTAATTTATTTCTTTATTTACGAACATGCTAACGTTCGACTGATTCTGTTTCAAGGATCCATTTAGGTACTGCGTTTTGCTAAACGTGAAAAACTCGGTCACTGCTCAGTTACAAGACGATATTGAAAATCTTGGCGTTTGATGATAGTGGTGAAAATTTATTTGTAGTTGTCAAAATAGTAACGAAAACGCTTTTTCCTTGTCTTCCCTTTCTTCTATTATTTCGTATTTTCATTTATTGCCATCTTTTTTCTTTCTCTACTATGCACTTCCGAGTGAGTTCATACACTCAGTCACAGTCATAATTTCATTCTGCTGCCATATCATTTTTACCATTTCAGTGAATATTTCCAATATCTAAGTTTGTTAGTGGAATGTCACCTAGTGAAAAACAAAATTTTCCAAAGCAATTAATCGCCAGCATTCTTTTTCTGGATGAAGGCATCCATTTTAAGTTTTAAGAAGTGTAGTTAGGAGGAAAGGTTGTGAAGTCTATTGTATTCAATTGTTTCTGCTTTCTAAAATAGAGGACGTTCTTCTCGTGTACAGTGATGTGTTGTGTTTGTTTGAATGAAGAAATAACTAATGTTAATAAATAGTTATAACAACCTGTCTATATGTTGCAGGCAGAAAATTTTCGAGTGTCCAGATACTAGACGTAGTTAACGCACTGTAGTAGTAATGCTCGTTAGGACTACGATCCAACGACAAACGAACGTTGAGGGATTTCTAACAACTTTCGAATCTTGGTTGGCCACGTAACCCAGTAACAGGTGCATATGAAATAAATAAAACGCTGCCTCATTTGCATAATGCAGGATAATCCGTACATATGCAAACAGAACGTAATTCATAGCTGAATGCCTCAGTTTCAATGTCATGAATGGGGTGTCTTGGATATGAGCTACAGTGGTTTTCATTATAATATGAACAAAATTGTGGAAAATCCGACAAACGGGCGAAGGAGCTTGAACAAATGTGAGTTAGTCGTCTCACTAATGGTGTAAGTCAAGGAGTGCGAAGTAATTTTTAGATTACAAAGCTACAACTTTGTGTTCTCCACTACCAAACAGTCTTAATTATTAAATGCATTAGAAAATAACATGCTCATCAATATTAGGCAGTTAGAGAAAGTCGTATTTATAAGTTTTATTCAGCTCTAATTCCCATTCGGATTTGCTGAGAGTGGTCCCATGTGGTAAAAGCGCAGTACATAGAGCAGTTCATTAACGCCGTGTAAATGGCGGTGCATGGCACATACATTTTTCGAATATATTCGTTCATCACTCCCTAGGGTTGACCAGAAATGCAATGTAGTGACACCACTGCTATGTTGAAAAAATTCAAGCTGGAAGATACAATCAAGATATAAATGCCGGGATTTAATAATTACATATAATTTATTCTCAGAAATATTTTCTATGATTTGAAATTGTTGTCAATTTCGGAATACAACAGATAGAAGATCTCATACGAGAATCATGGAGATCACAGAATAACTTAGATGCACATGACGAAGCTTGTTAAGGAGAATTAAGCAAGAAAACTGCATATAATAAAAATTGGAGGTTGGATTTAAGTAGAGGTAAAGCATATGCTGCGATGTTTCTAGAGCAGGACAGAATTCCTTCGTTTCTTTTCTGCCGGTTTTCAAAAATTTTGTAAGAAAAGAGGTTGTTCCAAGCACTGTAAGGTGCTAAACCAACACTTTACCATGCCGTGATGATTCTCTGAAGGAAGGACCTATTAAATATGATTTTTTAAGGCAATCGATATCTAAAATTTCCAAACTGTGTGAACTGTTATTGATACTGGGAAGGCACCGATTAGAGCGTCAAACGCGGCCACGGGAAAGAACAAATCTTTAAAAAATCGCTGAGATGTGAAATTTAAAGCTTAGTTAATAAAATTAATAGATTTATACTGGTAACATATCACTAAATGTGGCAAGCAAACTGATACTGTTCCAGAATTTCAGGTTTTCCGAGGAGGGACACAGGCTAGGGACCAATCATTTTTTGTAGGAGGTAAGTACTTTATTCATAAGGCATATTTATATATGAAATGGCTTCAATTTCCTCAAGTGTTACGTGAGCTTTCAATGAAAAAGATAAAAACGAAATCTACAGTTCGGAACAAGCAAGTTTTTTAGTACATCTTATGCAGGACTAGAGAAATATGTTGTTGAACGCTCACTGCTACAGGAATGTGTCTTGAGCTGAACTCGTTGTACTCATCGGAGGCGAAAACTTTTGTGTCACAGGATTCCGATCACTGGAAAGCAGTGCTGTGTATTGATTCGGTTCTTCGGTTGTGGATCCATAAAGACGAGTGGTGCAGTTTCCGAGAGATCTTAAAATTTAAGAATTAATTCGAAAACCAAGTCGTTTCTTTTGTTAATCGTGTTTGATTGATCAAGAAAAAGCAAGGAACAATGAAGGACGAAAGTTAAAACGTTTTGAAACCATGACCGCCGACTTTATGAGGTTATCATCTGTTATCTCTGTCATTCCAATTTGAATTAGCGACAGAGTGTACACAATGGACTATACTAAAGTCTCTACCTGCCGCTGGGCCAAATTTGCCCACTATGCTTCGCCTAGTTCAGAGGGCCCGAAGAGTACGTCTTTCGGGCAAAGCGCCTGCTGACTGCTTTTAACCAGACGCTAAGACGCGAAGAACGACCTTTCTCATGGATGTTCATTATAATCTGCCTCTAGGTTAGACTTTCAGAAGCATCAAACCACAGATGAGACTATTTTTCGAAAGTAGTCTGATCATTCCGTACACTTCGCAAACGCTTAGTGCTAGGTCGTTGGTACGAGTTCAAAAACGACATACAATGCGCGCATACATACATACATACATACATACACACACACACACACACGCGTATGAATATATATTAAATGTATACGGCAAGTATGAGGTAACTCGTCCCAACGGAGATATTGATATCATCTTTTAAATCCGTTCGCAACACATTGCAACTGTGAGGACACTTTTACCCTTCTTCTCACGTTTCACACCTGTTTTGGTCACCTGGAGAAAAATATCGCGTTTCCTTTTGGTGAATTAACTCGAGGCTATTCAGAACAGAAAAGTTTGTGATAGTAAAGGTGAAAAAGCCAATTTTTTAAAAGTACATAGTTATACATGCGAATCTCGAAGACCTATGTCGTATTAGAGCATGCAGGTTTGTGTGAAAATTGCAAACGAAGGCAGCTTTCGATGACAAACAACCTGACACAGGTGTAGTGCAGTACTTCTGCTAATGTGTACTTTCCTGAGATTGTTTCGCCCTGTCAATAGAATCGTACTTTCCTTGATTCTTTCAACCAAATGCTCGAATATCACTCGCCTCTTGTTTAGCATGTCACCATCTTGTTTACGAACATTTTTGTGTTTTTCGAAGAGAATGATCCAGAGCTTAGGTGAAAATATGCAAACCAAAGCAACGTTGGCTGACATTGAAATGGAAATGCATAATGAAGTTGTTTGAATCTAAAATATCAAAGATATAGCCATAACTGAAAATGCACAGTAGAAAAATACTTGTACCTGAAAGTCGCTCCCAGTTCCGAAGAAAAAAAATATCCAACTTAACCAGACAACGCAAGTAGTGTACATGGAAAAACCGATGAATTTCGTCTCATTAAAATTTTCTGGCACCTAAGTAAGGAAGCCGAATAAGCAGTTTATTAAAGCTTATAAGGAATTCAGACAGTCTTTAACCGACAAGACAAGGACTTACTTTCCTTGTTTTAACTGCATACACAGTACATGCGATAATAAGAATGCCATCGTAGGCGAGAGAATACAAAAAGTGATGATCGGGAACGTTACAAGTCAGAACAACTTGGTCCCGAGATGGGTAGTTGTGACGAGAACCTGGAAATAAAGGGCGCTGTTTGATTGTACATCAACACTGTCGCTTAGCTTTTATTAGTTGACAACACTTAGTCATCTCCACGAAAAACTGGAGCTTCAAGATCAGTTTCGCCTAATTATACATAAGAGGACTTATTCACAGTAAATAAAACACGATATCAAAAGATATTATCAATTAAAAGAAAAAAGCAAAACGGACTTTCATAGGAAGTCCGTTTCGCCATCATACAGTAACCCTTCCACCAAAATACAGCGCCCTACGCGAATTCATTACAATGCATTTAATGCGAAAAGGATTGCCACCTCCTACTTAAGATCTACACATTTTGGCTTATGATGAAATAAACTGATTGAAAAAAAAACAGCAGAATCTGCAGATGCTTGTCAATCAGGAAAGGAAAGCAACAATAAAATTTCGATGTGCTGGAGCTCAAGAGCACTATTCTTTTTCACTTTCCCGCCGAAGATCGTATTTGAAAGGAGTAGGCAACTGAAAAGTTGCGATTTCGAAAGGACAGAATGCGATGGGGTCTTCGCATGCATTAGGGATGTAGCAGCTTAGTAAAACCTCGTTGAAAGTGTTTATAATTCGGAATCCCGTTCAAAAATTTTTGAGTATTCCAATTTTAGATGAATCTGAAATTCGAAGAATATTCCATCAGAAAAAATGTTTAAGTTTAAGATAGCAGATTGAGAAGGGTTTTTAAAAAATAGTTTCCAGTTCTTCAAACGCTCCAGTGATCGCGACACCCTTGTTACCTTCCAAAAACCAGCTTTGGGCATCATTATATGTTAAAGAAATGAAGTGTCCGACAACTATTTTGGCAGCTGCACAAAGACTATAAGAGGGGTTTAGGGGTACCGTCAGCAAGATTTTTTAAAAAAAAAGTAAATTCAACCTGATAATCGTTCGCAGCGAACTTAGAAGGTTCCTATAATTTTCATTAAAGCTGTCCACTTACTTTTGTTACATAGCCGCTTGTGGTGCAGTAGTTGGAGGGGCCCTGCGGTACACGTGTGATCGATTGATCTGCCCTAGGTTCACCAAGCTTTCCATTCCTCAGGGGTCGGCAAATTGATACCAGGCTTGTATGGAAGGATAGCAGCAGTAGCTCGATACATCGGTAGGCCATCACGAGTCATTGTAAAGGTCAGATATGCATTCAACCACCTCCAACGATACTTAATGAAGCCGAATGCATGGCGCATCCCTCAGAGATTGATCAACACCGACAGCTTTATCCTTTATACTTTTATTAGCAACTTTGCACATCTTGCTTTCTTCGTTCAGTGTTTCTCGATCATAACGGTTTATCATAATTTGTTAACCGAAAACATTAAAAATCTGAACACTACCTGGTGGCACAACAAGGAGCCATATCAAGCTACTAATCAGCTGCACACCAGCTAGCATACTTGTCAGCACCACCTAAATACTAATGAATTTAGATAGTCAAGGATTAGCTCATATTCTAACTTCTTTTGCCAACAATGAAGAGGAATTATAAAGACCAAACGTGCACGATTTATTAATTCAGTTGGAATACACAAAAATTGTTATCTCATAGTACCTTTGTGGCACTCAACGAATATACTCACCATTTAACAGAAATTCTCTTATGAAAGATTACATAGAAACTACATACAGCAAGTAATCAAAAGAAACATTGCTTAGTAGTTAACGGCAAATTCTATAAAATTTTGCACTTTTACTCGTTGTAGTTAATAAATAAAGGATTCGTTAGTATGTAAAATCATTTCTTTGCAAAAAGTGAGCGTACGCACTGAGGTCAATTGGTAATATCGGGAGCTACTTATTTTCAGGACTAAAGACGTAGAGGTTTCATCTGCATAAACGCAAGCATATGTTAGATAGAAAACTGTTACAAATTCCTGAGTGTCACTAATGTTTTAAAGACATCGATTAATTAAAAATAGTGATTTTCATAACCATATGAGGTTCAAACCTGTGAGAGCGGTGAAATGAAGAGCGGTCGCCGTGCAGACATTGTGGCCTGAGAGAATATTCGAGCAATTCGATTCGTTTTTACCAACAACGCAGCGTAAAGGCATGAAAACGCAAAACCAATACCTTAACAAGTGTCGTTCGACTTCAGAAAGAATTTGAGTTTTTTTTTCAGACTATTTCTGAGCAAATGGAGCGCTTTCATTTTCCACTTTTTTAGCATTAAGAAGGATTGTTCTTATTGGTTGAGTTTGTTTGCCATTTGTCTTTGGAAAATAATCTCCATTGGTACTGAGTTGAAACGATGAATCGATCAAGCAGTTTTTATTAACGTCGAATCATTTCGTGCTACAAAAGTTTAGGGTTACCCATCCCGATTTTTACTTTTATTTTTCACCTACTCTGAATCCGAAAGCGATATACACAGGGCGTCAATGGCTTTGTGTAGAAACACGATATCCAATGTGGTACATAGAGTGCTTCTTTATTGATAAATACAATGTAAGAACTGCTTAGGCAGATCTTGAGCTCAATTCTACCGTCGAAAAAGCTCATTACGTCAAGTTCTATGCTATTTTCCTTCATGAGATGAGAAACTCAGTAGGCATCATAGCAATTCATTTCTTCTGCTGAAACGTCCGAACATTTGCTTCATCGTCGATTTTAGGCTTCTCGCCTTTTCGATCCCCGTGAAAATTTTCTAGTCCTTCAAGAAACATATTTAAGTCAAAAAAGCCTACCGATTACTGTACTCTGCCAGCAAAGAACAGGGTCAAGAAAACTTTATTATCCGTGAAGAGAAGCGGCCACCGACGTCTCAGAATCAGAGAGCTATCGTTTTGACGCGGATGTATCCCAAATGTGCCAAAACAATACTCTGTTCACTTGAAGAGCGCAAATTAACATCGTCAAAGTGGCTTCAATTGGGAAAGAGAGAGATCTGGGGTAAGACCCAGTTGCAGTGTACCGGGAAATCGTTGGCCAATATATAGTGTAGTAAGCATTCTAGCAATGATTTAGAAGATAGAAGATTGAAAACTCTGATAGCGTGAGGAATAAGATAATTCAATGCTATTTTTCTTCTAAAGGCAGTTGCAAATACTCATATATCATGAATATATGAGTTGGCACGCTTCACTGTATATCCAACCCCCGTGTCAGTTTCACCACAAATCTAAAATCACACGGCTTGGATGATGATGGAAGTGGATCTAGGTTTTCGGCAGCAAAAAAAATGCTCCCTAACTTCTATGAAAAACGTGGTAGGATCATCGTAAGATTAACTAGCAGTCTTAGCAAAACAATTTAAGTTAATCATAGAAACGCTTTCTTCAAAAACTGACAAAGTGATACGCCTAGAATCAGAGCGTTCGTTTTTCGTTCTTTTGATAGGACAGAGTGAATTTTATAGTTCTGATAAGCAGTAGAATGAGTACTCTGAACCGATGTGCTTCAGCATCTTGAAGGTTAACAATATTACAGGTGATGCAAATAATCTCCTCAATGCTTTATTCTACTATCTTATGCTAGAAGGTTCCTGGATATCTCCAGGTTCTGACATGACGATCGGCGGCCATTTGAATTTCAAACTGTTGTGCGAAAAAGCGGTCACGCCTCTTGCTGAGAATTGCCCCATATGGATGGACAGACCATAGGAAAGGTGCTGGCTCGGTTATCTCTGCATTTTTACTATCTGCACTGTCTTATGCGCACAACCAACCGTCTCGATAAGGAAACAAACAGGATAGAGAAAGAAACTCGATTTGTTTCCGACTTTTTGACCAACACGTTTGGCTTCATGGAAATTTGTTTCCTGAAAAGTTATTCAAATGCTGTATTTTGCTACCAATATTTGGATTAATATGTCGAAATCAACATATCGTTGAATAGTCCTAATTATGGTAATGCTGGAGTGCAAAAATAAATAATTGGTGGGCTCGCCTTTCGGATGGTTCTGCATTATGAGTCCAGACTGCCGTACAACAGAGCAGGGAACCAAAAAAGTGAAAGGAGATTGGAAATATTACCGAAATGGTTATAGGGCAATCAAGCTATTCAGGAAAAGTTTGAAAGGTTTTGAGATAATTCATCGCCTTGTGAAGAAAGTACTCGAAAAAAATCGCTATCTCCTGTCATGAAGATGGCTTTAAATGGAGAGATCTCAATATTTTGGTTTCTGAGCACATCACAATACTGTTGAAATTCAATGAGATCAATGAGCAGGTAGTTTATATATCGTATAATTATATATTACATTATATACTATGTTGTGTACTATTACATTATTTATTATATATTGATTTATGTGATTCTATAAACTGATCTTCTTAAGCTGACGCGAGGTTGGTACAGGCCTTCGTTGTCGTTGTTTTTGATGTTGTTGATCGATGGCTGACGTTTCGGCGGCTTCTCCTTCCTCAAAGCCGTGATGCTACGTGTGGGACTATTATATATTGTATTTTATAGCTATCCTCCCAGTGGTTTACCGCCTCACCGTTGCTGGGAGGTGATCCTGGGTGTCAGGCTGCGATGTACAGCGAGAGGGATTCATCCCCCTAGCAGGGTCTCCCAAGCCGAGAAGTGGTCAGGCGTTTCCATCAGGAAGTCCAGATAAGAGTAAACTAAAACGAGGATCCGTCACCGTCCTGGTCCTAAACTAGTCGCATGGTGGCAAATCTCTCTCTGATCCACAAGGGCGGCGACTGCCCGTGGTGGTGACGACATGGGGCAGACTTTGGCCTAACTGGCCCCGGGTCTCCAGAGAACCACAATGGCGAAACCAACAAAACTCCGAAACAATGAGATTATGCTGGGGCCCATACAGCCAGTGATAACGGCCCATCGAAGTATCCAATTTTTATGTAGTATATCATTGTATTTATATATTGTATAATATTATATAATATATAATTACGTAAGTCATAATTTTACGTGTAGTGGTAAAATACTGAAGAGGTTAGAGAATGTTAATTCTCTTCTGCAAAGAACTACATTGACTTCTTAATTTAGCGAATTGTGACTTTTGATGAAGACTGGGTTATAAACGACGTTAACAAATGAATTGCTTAATGTTGGCCAACTAATTCGTTGAAGTAGAAATCTCCCATTTCAAAATACGCGCAAAGGGGACCAGGATACACTCGGAGCACAGAATCCGGATTACCTTTTTAGTCTCTAGCCTGGTTATACCATCAAATCAGTGTAATATTATGAGTACTCGTCGAAAATGAAGGCGAACTAAAGCACATGTAGCCAACACCGGTCGACCGCAACGGCGCTGCAGCAGCGTCACGACAACGTGAGCATGCGTGGTTCGCACTTCACTATTGCAAAGCCGAGGCTTCACTGAGAATTTCATTCTCATCCTCCATGCTTTCCGAACACGTATTTCAAATAACTTTTATCTCTCATTCACTCACAAGGATCGAGAAAGGGTAGAATAGTTCTCTCGAACTACTCCATCCGTTGTTGACCTCAAGACTATAAAAATGGAAATTGCAGAATTATGTAGACGACGATGTGATAGGTTGTGCTAAAACACAGTTTAGTGGAAATTTGCTGATTGTAATGACCGATTGTGAGTGAAAGGGCACAGTGGTCGGAGGCGCTCTACAGCACACACATAGGACCGATCCCCAGACCCGTGGCCGACCAAACTTTCCATCCCTCCGTGGTCGGCAAATTCGTACCAGTCTTGTCTGGGAGAACGCCAGCTCGATATATCGGCACGACACCGCAAGTCATTATGAAGGCAAAATATGCGTTTGATCACCATTCTTAATGAAGTCGAATGTATGACCATCCCTCAGTCAGGGATTGGTCATTGCCAAGAGTTTTATCCTCTATCATTTTTTTTGTGAGTATAAAACGTCAAACTCAAACGGAAATGTGAGTTGAACGTTTTCTATGTGTGCTGATCAAGAAAAGATGGAAATATGAATGTTCAAAAATACTTTGCGAATGTTACTATTTCTTTCCAAGAAATAAAATACAAATTGAAGATTTACAATTAACTATTCAACTATGCTTTATGCAAAGGATCAAAAATAAACTTTCCGCCTTTTATTGGCAGGTTTTTTTTGAAGTAAACATCAACACTAATTTGTTCAGTTCGCTTTACCTTTGAAAAACTGTTTATTATTGGAAAGACCTCTTGTGCTGCTTACAATCGAGTGTTTTATAGAATACTGTAAAAGATCTTCTCTAAAATTATGAGTGGAAACAGAAATGTTAAGGATTTATAACAGAAAAACAAAATGAGCAGACAATGGATGGAAGTGATCACCTCTCACGGCGAATGGCTTCTCAGCAACATCATAAAGACTGTGTCTGTCAACATCAATACATCAATCTGTCAATAACAAAGTGGCGACTTACTTCACTAGTTCTGATCTTTCCCATGGCCATGCAATTCGACGACTTTCAACTGCCACAATCCTCGGAACTCACGAAAGATTGGGCCGACAAGTCTTTGCCGATGATGACAAGCCGCCAACTGAGAAAACACCCTGGCGTAGATACGGGCCAATTTTCGAGGGCCATCCGATGCCAATACTCAACCACTGTTGCACGGTGAGACGTATTCGGCCAACTAGCAGTACCAATTCGTGCAGAATATCCTTGACCTATTATCTTCCTGTCCGTATCTCTTCGTAACCATGAGAACCCTTCGAAACCCATTTCACCATCTTCAAGTATTTAATGTCAAGTACGGAGCAAATCTTTGAATCCCAATAATCGTAGTTCTAAAGGAGAAGCACCTATTCTTAACCTAGATGTCGAGCTAAAGTGGCTGATCAAGATGGTAATCGCATAAGGAGTCAAACTAGGTCACGATGGAATTTATTGAGAAAAATTTTTGAAAATGTTGAACTGCCGCGCCGCACTAACGTCTCTTCAATGGCATAGAGGCGGAGTCTACAAAAAACTACCTACGTGGCAAACGTTTTTTTTAGTATGGCACAGTAAGTTCTGAAAATGTTTTAATTTTTATTATCTATCGGCTATTATCGCGCGTGTGGCGCAGTGGTCGGAGGCGCCCTGCAACACACACGTGGAAATGATCCCCGCGCCCATGGCCCACCAGGCTTTCCATCCCTCCGAGGTAGGCAAATTGATACTAGATTTGTCTGGAAAGATAGGTCGACACATCGGTAGGCCACTGCGAGTCATTGTAAAGGCCAGATTCAATCACCTGCAAACGATGCTTAATGAAGCCGAATGCATGGCGCATCCCTCAGGGATTGATCAACGCAAAAAGCTTTATCCTTTATAGGTTATTATCAAGAACGTTTTTCTTACCCGTTCGCTTTATGGCACAAACAACCGCGTTTGGTTTGGAAAGTAACACAAACGTCATTGCATAGCACATGATCATGGAGATGAGCAGCAGGTAACTCAGTTCTCTACCGGACGCTTTAACCACTGGAGTCTCATTGTACCTAAATGTCGTTGAGAAATCGTTAACACATCCCACGTATCTTTCCTTATAAAGTGAAACTTGTCGAAGTTGTTGCTACTCATTTACTCTTCGCTATTTGCTTTCTATTATGTCTTAGCAACCCTTGTTTGGTAAACGGAGTAGACAAAATAATAATTTCCATCAAATACGAAAAACACCTTATGCAAAGTAGAAGTTTTTCAAAGAATTAAATTATAAAAACAGTGTTTGTTAAGATTTTAGCATTTTTTGCTTAAATTACAGAAAGCGTTAGGCGCAGTGCTTAAGGTTTCTGTGTAGTGCACTCGTGATCGATGCTTCATCGCCATCCTCGGGCCAATCGGGTCAACTATTCCTTCCTTTTGTTCGGAATCGGCAAATCCCTGCGACATTTGTCTACGAAGAATTCTCACCGATCTACATAAATGCTTCCGATCTACATAAGACGCCACACATCAATACCTTTTGATGAACGCCTTGAGATGATCTAGTAGAGCTTTCTCAGAGTTTCAGATACAGGACTAAATGGACCCAGACCATATCCATGAAGAATGAAAAGTTGAGCAGATGAACACCACACATGGAAAACCTCCACTACCTCCTTCGCCTCACTCGTTTGTTGATTGTGCAGGCGAGACATCGAGCCGGATATAACTAGCGCTTCGATCGGCAAAATGCTATAAAATACCGCTAATTTAGATCATATAAGTGCAGGTGTATTTCTCTCTAATGTGTGGCGAAGGTATCAACACGCCGTTTTAGAAGAGCGAAGTTAATAGTGTAAGTGGATACATATAAACCAAACTGAGGTCATCTGTGTACCCAAAACTCATTTGTTCATTCTCTAAATTTTACTTGAATTTGAAAGGATAAAAGGTCTTAACACCGCAAATAATTGCTTTTTCACTTTCGAGCCATATCTACAAGAATTCATACCCAAGTAGCGATGTTGTCTGCTACCGTGGTGAGAGGATTCATTACCAGTATAGTATTTTGTATTAGCAACTCACATAATGTAAACGCCAACCACGAATAGTGTAGCAATGATTCCGATCACCGCAAAAATTGCCGGCACAATAGAGTAGAGTGAGTTCCATCTCATATACCTCAGATGCGCGATCGACAAATCATAGCATCCTTTTCGATCCTCAGTTGGCCACCTTGATTAAAAAATATGGAAAAAAAACTCTTGTCCAAGTCATATCCTTTCAAATCTCGCTGTTTTTCATTTGCCTTTCAATCTTTTTTTTCACTCAAGTGGTGAAGAGTGTCAGTAATTGCAGTACACTAAATACCTTCGAAGGGATAAACTATGCCTTCACTAAAACACGATCTTCCTGGACATTCCCACACAACAGAAATTAATAAACTGTTCTTCTAAAAGCAGAAGATTTTGTTAAAGAATGCCACTTCAGTTGAGTTGCTTAGTTAAACTTGGACTTACTGTAATTCATAAATTTTGCTGGGTTCTGAGAAAATTTTTGGCTAACGTAAACATTAAATACAACGATAAAAGTGTCGACTTTTTGCTTTCTTAAAATATGACTAAAAAGATTGATGAAGTCAATAAATGAGTTAATAAATGAAAACGGGCCGAAAAAGCGATAAATCCGACCATATCAGTGGAAACAGTTGGTAAGGGAGCAAGTGTTGATCGCGAAGGCTTATTTCTACTCACACACAACAGAAGAACATTATTCATTCTTCAAACTTCGCCATCTACGACAAATTAAATTTTTTCCATACAACTCATATACGCACACATATTTTAATACTTGGGCGGCCCGTCCTCAATAGTTGTGCGGGCTCCAATATAACCTCCATTTTTCGGAGTTTTGCTAGTTCAGCCAGTGTGTTTCCTTAGAGTCGCGAGCTCAGTCTGACCAAAGTCTGCCCAGGTCGTCACCACTACAGGCAGTCGTAGCCTTTATGGATCAGAAGAAGATTTAGATATATATATATATATATATATATATATATCACCTGTAGTCCCATTGATCATCGAGTGAATCGAGCGGGCGCCAGTTAATATTCGATTTTTTCCTCTCGCGTGCAAGAGTAGCCCAGTGGGCTCTACTCGCTCTAGGGACTCCTCGAGCATCATATCCTTCTTCAAGGCTCTTTGTGAAGAACTCTGACAATCGGGTCGGTGGTCGTCCTGCAGTACGTTTGACATCGCGAGGAATCCAGTTACTAACGACTTTTGTTCATCGGTTGTCATTCATACACACTGCGTGTCCAGCCTACCATCTAATGTTCAGTTGTTTGGTGTACAGAAAGACATCTTTGATTTTTGATCGCCCACGTAGGTCGGAGTTTCGGATTCCATCCCTCACTTGTGTGAGACGGGATACTCCTAGCATTTTAATAGAATGGGTGGAGAAGCACTTAAAGGTTCTCTGCACTGCCAGAATAAGAAGTCCTGTCAACTGAGATGATGGATGAGCAGTTCAGTGCTTTCTGGTTTCAGAATTACGTAATTTGCTGCTTTGTAGACAATGTTATAAACACGAATTTTTCGTTGATTCCTTCTGAGGAGAATAGGTAATACAGATGGCATATTCAGTTGCAAAGCATTCACACAGTTGACAACAAACTTTTATTTTTTTGTCTCTATGCTCCTGCAAGTCACGTAGATTTCGGCCACGTAGGAGCATCGTCCTTCTTCTCGCTGCACAGCGCGATGCTGCAGCATCTGGTTCGACGCCACCCACGAAGTTTTCACTAAAATGCACCTGTTGCTCGTATAACTCGTTCCACAGACATTTCACATGCACCAACCGCGCGACGAATATCTGCCCCGAAACTTCAGGAAATCTAACGCACCTTTTTCTATTGCAAGTCGCTTTGGTGGTTGGACCAACATGCTTCGGTGCTCGCTGTGGAATCGGTTTCTTTGACGAGTCGGAAGATGCAGCAACGCTCGTCTCTGTAGCAGGTCTCGTGTTTGATTGCTGATTGGCAGATGAAGTGACTTCTTCTTCGTTTTCCACACTGCCGGACATTTCGGACATTAAACGCGAAATAATTAACCATCCTTACTGAGATTTGCTTTTATAAGCCATGGAGTCCCACTCCGGAACTCTCGTTATCATGCATTCGGCTGATCGAATCATTGTCGAGCGGTCGGTCGACTAATCGTGGGAATTTTTATTTCTTCCCGTGTTTTTCTATGGTGCTTAGCTCCAGATATTTTCCTCGGGACAACATGCATACACATATATCTATACATATATATGTATGTAGATAGTTGAGCTAGTTGAGCTTCTGCGTCGTCAACTACTCACACAGAAAGAGCGCGATGGAGCGTCGTGCACAGTGCACGTGATGATCGCCATCACTACCACTGTGCTACATGCCCTGGGAACAAAATTTCAATTTTTAAAATCTCTTACGTAAGTTCGACTGCATCAAAGGACGGTGATAGACAGGTGAACACAATTGCGTTGTCTTAACTAACGAAATTCTGCTTGTTCATTCCCTCTAATGTTCGAAATACGAGCTTAATCTAAACAGAAAGGAAAATATGTTCCATGGAATACAGAGACCCAGGATTTCAACCTAATCAAGGAAGAAGATTTGCACCAAACCGGTACGGACCAATAGATTCTAATGTCCTACTTGAACTCATGAATGAGAATGAAAATAGAAGCGAAGCTCGTCACAAGTCGAGATATGTGCTTTATAGACAAGGCTGCTCTCCACAACAGGTGCAGCAAACGCGACCCAATCGAGACAGATGCCACGTGGTTTTCGCGCGCTGTTCCATTGCGCGCGTGGTGAATGAATTTCGAGTGGGCTGTTGGTGTTTTCCTTCGGGTGCTAATCTTTGGATTCGTGCTTCATCTGTTCTTCGTTTTTCTGTTTGTGCAGTATGTCGTTCTTTCGGATTACACTTGTTCATTTTCTCAAATTAAATACTGTCGCAATAGCAGTCGATATTTGTCACTGTGTTGTGCAGGTTCGTCTTTGCTTCTCATTAAGATGACCGAAATACTGGATCACAAGGAGCTTAACAGTGAGCGTCGAAAAGATGCAGGAGGCTTGAGTGGTTTCTTGTTGGTATGAGTTTCAAATTTTCTCACAGGTACCCATCGTTGTATCACTGCTCTTTCAGCTAGATAAGTTTCGCGTTCGAGTGTGCAGAACTGTCGACGTGCCTATCCTGATGGACTGCCCCTTCCTAGATCATCCTCAAATGGTTGTGATTGACATGCCAACAGTTGAAAAGGTAGGAAATTTCTGATTGACATTTTATGAAAATCCATTGTTTTTGTGGCTCATTCAAAATCGTACGACACCGGCTGGACCACACCGTTCTTTAGAGTGCAGTTGAGCGGGAAACCAACGACTCTACAGAACACGAGATGTCTACCGATGGTCCGCTCAATTTTGATTTCCTTTCGCTGGAAAAATTGGAGCAGCAGTGCAAGCTGAATGGTGGAGGCTCGTGTTTTTTCCTAGTTCTGTTTTTCTTTTCTCTGTGTAGAGCATCTGTTTGGCTTCTTTTGTAAATTTCCACTTATCATTAGGCTTTCCTGGGTGTCCAATGATCACTTCCACGAGCTATTTCGATTGCAACCCACTCGATGCTCCCACTGCCTTTGATCTTCGCAACAGGTTTGCGACAATTGTAATTTTAGAGCCGTTTTTGTTAGTGTCAAATAAGTTTGGGTGCTGTTGAACGGCATCGTTCTTGTTGTTGAAGTCGTACTTCAGGTTGATGCGTCAGAAGCTTCCTGCGCTTCTGGATAAAACTCTCTTGGATTTGCCCATATGCATCATTGCGAATGCGAAAGATCTACTGCGAACAACATTCGTTGGTTTCCACTCCTCAAGTTCCAAGATCACAACCTTCCATACGAGAGACTTAGGTGTGTTCATTTCCATAAGACCATAGTAATTCACGCATAAAATTTAAACCAATGAAATCCGAAGAACTGTTCGAAGGCGTGAATAAGACTTGCATTTCAGGTCGTTATGGTGATCTGAGTGAGCATGTGCTGAGAAATCTTCATCATCGTTTTGAAGGTCTTGAGTCGCGGAGCAAGGGAGTGGCATTGTACAGTGTAAATCATTTGAGCAGTTTACGTTTGTTTGTGATATAGAGAAAAGGTCGCACATGGCAGATTCTGGAGAAGAGGTCGTGGTTTTGTGACGCGGGGAAATTTCCTTGCAACATGAAGTTGACGTTCAAGTGGGAAGAGACGATGGTAATTTATGATCCGCGGAGATAAATTCGTGGGAAAAACCTATAATTTTTAGTCAGAGAACTATCTGTGCCGACCACCACTTTCTGCATCAGCATTATTTTATGTGGCACCAGGGTGGAAAGACGAAAGGATTGCTCTTTTCGAAAGCACAAAGGAGCTGGAGTACCTACTGGTGAGTGATGCCTCTCAGATTTCGAGTTTATGCTTGCTTGTCAAATTGACTTTTACACTTCGTGAGCAGATTTCATGAAATGTTTTCGACAACAGTTTGATTCTGATGCTAATGCTGAGATATTTGCAAAACTCCGGATCGCAGGTGTCTGCGGTGGAAAACGAACGCGCTATTGTCCTTTCCGGGGAGTAACGTGTTCACCACCACACCATGCGGGTCCTTCGTTTCGCCTGTCTCTCAGCTAGTTCTATCGATCTTTTTGCCATTAGCAATCACCCGTCGACGGGATTGATCTGGGGAGCCCAAATCGGCATTGAACCCAGTTAAGCTGAGGCTATAGTTATAATCACAATCTTAACCTTTTTTATTTACTGCCTGTTCTTTTTAATGGCAGAGTATGTTGGGAAATATAACTCGATTGTTAATGACATCTTGTGAGTATTTGTCTAAGGGCTTGGACAAGTGGCGGTGGGTACTTCTGTACCAGTTGCCCAGTGTACATATATTTTCCACATTCCATTAGATTGTAAACGAATGTGTTCTTGATGACTCATTTACACTACAAGCCGAGCTTCTGGGATCAGTGGTCCTATGAGCGTGCCGAATAAGGCGCACGTTCATCCTCCAGTTCCTTAAAAATTCTCCGACGTTTCGTCGGGTTTTACAAGAAAAATGCTTCTGACTGGTCAACAGTGACAGCGAATGTTACTGAAGTGATCTTAGTAGTTTCAAAGTATCACCCAGGATGACTCCATCTGCTGAATCCTAATAGATCTCGTTTTCGTTGCCAAAGAAACCCAGAGGAGAGCTTAAAACAACGAACTCTTCCTTTTCGTAAATTCGTACAACGTTGATTTGTTGAATTTTTAGCTTTCTACTTTTATTGAGGATTTCTGGAACTATTGTTTCGTCTACTCTTTGTTTCTATACAAGCTTTTGAATGTATGTGTGTATGTAGGTATGTATGAATGCATGTATGTATATGTATATGTGTATATATGTTTATGTATGTATGTATACAAGTATGTATATGTATATACCTGATATACTCAATGACATTGAGTTGTCTGCGAAGCCCTTATTTCCGTTACGAAACTTGTAAAATCACCATGGAACCTCTAGGAAGTTATCTATTCTCTGACCAAATGCAACTTTTATATTGTGGGTTATTTCCTCGACTTCACACCAAGTTTGAAGCTTTCAAAAGGAGAAGTTGCAAGCTGGTTTTCTCTTGTGTTTTCATCTTACACATAACATCTATCCTCTTTTTATGGGAAAAAAGTGGCTGATTTCAACTTCAAACTGACGTAGCTCACCCCATACTCGATAACATCCAGGTCTTCTGGTTTTGCTGAAATCAAATTCCAATCTTTTGGGAGCCGTGAAACGTTTTCTTTTGCACCATTTTCTGCGTCAGATCTCATATTTTGTGCACGAAGACAACTGAAAAAACAGGATTTCGTACAATGTAACGCAATGGTGTTCTGTAATGTATCGATGGTGTTTGCTGCTGTTGTGGGTCGGTTACGGTCCTTCAGGTTAAGTTCTCAACTTTCTAGGATTTTTAGTTCTAATCATGTTTGGAATTGGAAGAATACTTGGATAGTTGGACGATTCATCCTCACTGATTGCGCGACCTCTAGCATAATCTCTATCCCTTAGGAGTTTTCTGGTTTAGCCGTTGTGGTACCCTGGAGTCCCGAGGTCAGGTTGGTCAAAGTCTGCTCCATTTCGTCACCACCTCATGGACTCGCCGCTCGTGTGGATCAGAGAGGGGTTTGCCACCATGCGACAAGTTTGATACCAGGACGGTGGTGGATCCTGGTATTCGTTTACTCTTAGCTGGGTTTCCTGACGGAAACGCCGGACTCCTTCCCAGCATGAGAGACCCTGCCAAGGGATTAAACCCCCCTCCTGCTGTACATTGTCGCCCAACACCCAGGAGTACCTCCCAGTCATGATGAAGCGGTAAACCATAGGGATAAAATTGGAAGAATACGTTATGAAAATTACGTATGCGATTAAAGCAATATAGCGAAGTATGTGCTGTAAACATGTAAATTCCCTTAGTCGTCATTACTCTATTGTTCGGAAAGTCATCATTTGTCGAATGGACGTTTTTGAGCATTATTTCTCAAACGGTCTACAAATTAAATTTAAAAAAGGGAGAATCGCCTACAGTTTATATTTGATTGATGATTCCCTAATTTGGCACCATGTATTGTCTTTGTAGTCTCGGTGGCTGTACTTCTTTTAGCTTGTTCGGATTGGTTGTGAAACGTGTTGTCAATTCCTACGGCGTCAATTCTTCGAGAATTTGCGCCATCCACGTCTTTAGTTGCTGCGAAACAATAAAGGTGATTACGACGAGTCTTCCGACTAGGTCTACATATATTTGTTTCCTACAAAGCGCTTAATTCATCGTCTATGGTAACAGAAGAGCGTCCACGACTTTGCTTACCTTCGACGTCGAATTCGCAGTGACGAAGTGTTTGAAACCAACGTTGTCCTTGCATTCGTTTACACTTTCTTGGTTCAATATCTCAGTAATATTTCGATTTCTTTCCTCTGCGGACTTTCGAGTTTGAACTCGTAAAGGTAGATTTGTCCAGTTTTGTTGATTTGCCACGTTAGTGTCTAACCTGTGAAATTTGCCAGAAATTACAGTTTGTGCGTGGATTCAATTATTCAGAGCAATATTGCATAAAGTAAGCTTTGCACTGACGCGTAGTACCAGAGCTCTAATCTAGAAGACTTATAAGGAAAATAAGATTGGATGCACATCTACGTGGAAAAAATCGAATGTACATGTATAACTTAAGTTAATGGCGAATGTGCTGGATTCGGGATCTGTTATGGTTTGGCCGACAGCGGATGAAAACACATCTGAAAATATGCTGACCGAAGTGCGAAACCTCATTATGCAGTACAGAGTACCGAACGACGACATTCAACGTGCACTTCATGACATAAGGTTGGTCTATCTCATCCGTAACGGTCATCCCTTAACGTTTTTATTGACATTGTTGGTTGTAGACATCTCGACTTCACCGAACTGTTATGGGATATTCTAAAGAGATGCGTTGACTTCAACAATCTCGTAGCCGCTTTAAGCATCGTTTTTGACGCTTTGAAGGACCGTGCCATTAACGCAGTTGTGAGTCTTAGCACTTATTTCGGATCATCGTTTAACGTTGATTTGATGCGTTTGCTAGTTTAGAATGCTTAAGACGACAGTGACTACGCGCAACAAACAGCAGGTGTTTTTTGGAGATTTCGTTTTTTTTTCAGTTGCATGATGACAACAGGTCTACGATAGCACGTCTCGTACACGATTCACACTCCCAGAATCTCATGCTCCCCAGGCTAGAGGCTCTCACTCCAATTCAGATTTTATTAGAGATAGGAATTGAACGTTTTAGGCGGTACTGTTATTCTCTATTTTTTAGCTCGATTACTGTGACCATACTGTTTCAAGGCATGCATTTTTTTTTAAAACTTTCAGAGATATGGTCGAAGCATATATCACCGCTGGCTTGGTGACCTCTATTGCGGATCTTGAATTCAAGTCAGGAATGAATGCTACGCCAGAAGAGCGGGCCAGAGACTTACTTCCTTTTCATTTGGCTTTGCAAACAATTTTCGAAATGAAACGACACGTCGCTCTGCCTCCTCATATGCTCATTAAGATGACAAGGTCTGCTTTTGTTAACAACAATTTACGTTTGCAGCCTTGTGACTGCTGCGTTTTTCTCTGCGTCTTCTTGAGTAAAATGTCTAGTAGTAATTAAAGTACAGTTCCACATGGACTCATTTTGCTGCACTGGGCTCGTTTCAGATCGGTTGTTACAAGATATCGCTCTTCTCCAATCACTGATTTTGCAAAAGTATCATTTGAAGCGGCTGTCCCTATGATCTATGTTGGACAGGGTCTTTTTCGTAAGTACGTGAGCCTGTGTTTAGTCAACCTTTATGATTATTAAGTGGAAATTGGTCAGTCTGCACACTGAATTCAAAATGTGCTCGACATGTCACTGTGTTCAATGTCTCGAGTATTCTAGACGAACTATTAGACCATATACAAACCATCATTGGCATTTGAGACATGGTTTACTTATACATTGAACGGTATTGCGAATAAATTTTATAGCATTCAGGCTACCTGATTTGTGGACCTATGAGACAACGTATTCTTCTGAGAGCTCAATTGTTGCTCACACTTTCTTAAATTTCACACCTAGACCTCAACTGCGTTTCCTTGAAAACAGAGAACTTACGGAAATCGACCGAACAGGTGTTCAGGTATATTGGAATTGAAGAAATCTTCTTCTTGGGACATGTGTATTAACTTTGTTCTGTTTTCAGGGTTCTGACAGACGAAATGCGTTCCAGTGCACGCATACTACTTTTAGTTGTTTGGATGTAGAAGATTATGATGGGTGGGGTTAGAGTTTGGCTATCTTGGTTGAATATTATTGTCATAAATACACCTCCACACCAATGAATTGTAGTGATACCTTTTTTTCAAGCTTTCTTCCTACTCGTCTTGTTAGCACTGTGTGTTTTTAACACTTACGCAATTGAGAATTTACCGCCTGTTATGGAATGTGTAAGGTGACCTCCGTTCTCGATCGTAGTTGTTCTGTAATTGTCATATGACAACACGAGTAAAAATCAGGTGTTCTTGTTTTTATTTCGGTATATCTACACGCTTTGCGGTGTTGTAATTTTAGCTTTATGTTTGAGCGACCTATTAAATATTTTTTATTTCTCAGTTTTGATAAACGCTAAGTATTTTCAAAAGTACTTCACAAAGAGGTGGACGACTTAGATCACCAGCTCATCAATGAGGTCGAGTTTCAGTACTATGGTTTTTCCGCATATGGGTTTTCGGTCACAGGTAATTTGGTCTGTCTAGCCCTAAGTCATACGCGATCTCTCTTGTTTCATTCTTATTTACTTGGATACTTGGACGACCCGTTCGTACTGGTTGTGCGGGCCCCAGCATAACAACCATTTTTCGGAGATTTGCTGGTTAGGCCACTGTGTTTTCCTGGAATCTCGAGGTCAGTCTTGCCAAATTCTGCCCCGAATTTTTAGCACCGGGGGCAGTCGTCACCCTTGTGCATCAGAGAGTGATTTCCTATCATGAGACTTTGGTACCAGGACGGTGGTGGGTCCTGGTATTGGTTTACTCTTAGCTAGGCTTCGTGTTGGAAACGCCGGACTCCTCAGATTGGGAGACTGATCTCTCCCTATATATCCCATGACGACACTCAGGAACACCTGGCCACGATGAGGCGGTAAACCGTTAGTAGGTTTGCTTGATAATGTTTTAATACTAATTTAAGCGTACATCGTATATTTTAAGCCCACTATGCCAGAAGGAGTCTTTAGTTTACAATAATTGTGTAGAACCATAGATGGAAACAGTTGAGGAGACCTCATCTTTGCTCTCGTTCTCCAACGCGAGTGATGGTTAAACAATCGAATTTTGCGTTTCTATTCAGTAATTCAACAAAGTAGTCAGGATCGTTCAGAAAGGCCATCGACTAGTGAGCTCGGTCCTAATGTCTAAAGAATATCTTGACCATGACAGAGGCTTATTTTGGGCACTGAACTTATGTCATGGCGATGATGAAAGAAGACGATAGCCTGAACGGGCATCTTCGGCTTATGCATTTCCATTCAATATTTCTGCAAAATTCTCAGGTTCCGAAGGCGTTCTCACAAGTCAATATAGTTCAAAGGCGATTTTCGTTTATTCTGGACTTTCATAATCACCGTCTTTGCTTAGTTTTACGCTGCGGTGAGATTGTTATGAAACTCCGTGGTGGCGAACGTTTCAGCGGTATCGTCTTCTATAGAGTAACGATACTCGAGTGCAGAGCAAACCAATGCATTGGCCATATAAGCTAAGGGTAAACACAAATCGGTATTAGAAATATTACTTTACCATATGCTAGTTAACATTCCAATCGCGCCATCTCGTCACGACGAAAACAGGTAGTTTTGCAGGTTGATTAACTAGTAACCGTCCCATATCCCGGGAGTCTGATTGGTGAAGTCGAGAGGTTACTTAATTCATCGACGAGAACCACACTATATGAAGTAGTAAGACTAGGTTAAGCAGTTTCCATTCTTTTCGTGTAGTGTCCCACTTCACTCGAATTAACTCCATACCACTACGAACGCCCAGATTTCAAGGTCGAATAGATGTGGGCAGTTGACCCGACCAAAGTATTAGTCGTTTAAAACTTTTAAAACAACCTTCATCCTGCCATAAAAATTTAAGAAAATATTTCAGTATCTGTCTACATTATCTTGCCGACACAGAGAAAATCGACTTTCATGACTGGTACCGGACTCGAGCCGTTGATTATGCGTGTATTACGTAGCATCTCTAACCACCACGCTTCCTACGACCCATGGAATTTTGTGCTATGTTTGAACACATGCAAGACAGTACAGTTCTTATGCTGACGTTGTGCTGGGCTTCCACTAAATGTAAATGCTGTTTACAGTGATATACCAAATCCGTTTGATCTTCCGTAATTCTGCGGTGTTCCAAGCTGTGATATTCGGCTGCTGGAGCTCTGCAAGCCATTGTGTTCGCTCTTTAAGGTTAGCTATGTCACTGGCGAGTTTCTCAGCTTATCACCGATGACGTGTAAAGTTGTTTCTTTCAAGCAAGTGAACCTCGACCATTAGCTAGGGTGAAACAACGGAGATTCGATTGTGTTGAGAACAATCTCGAAATAACCCCGTTCCAGTCATCGGAATGGTAAGGCTTTTTACAAGTATACCGATACTACGCATATAGGGGGACGATTGCATACATATTCAAGGCAGTTGATTTTCGTTGTTAATCCGGTTGGACTTTTTATGAATGTCGTCTCTTATGCTGAATGTGGCCAAAGAGAGCTATTTGGGGTGATCCAGACTGCCTCCATAAATGTTCTTTCTGCGAGTGCTGATTTTGTCATATATTGTTAAAGTTACAAGTACTGGTTTCTTAAAACTAGCTTTAAGTGTACAAACGTCTGTAATCATTTGATATGCACCAAATTTGTACCTGTAAATTCACAGATGATTCTATGACCGTAGCTCTGACGTATTAGAGGAGAGAGAGAGAGAGAAAGAGAAAGGGGATGGAGGGGAGTGGTGGTTTGTGAGATATTTTCTAAATCTTCTACAAAGGGAAGCATTTTTTTATTTCACTGTATTGTTATACCACTTCGTTCTTCTTCCCGCTACTTACACGCAATTTTTGTTAAGTAAAACTTAAATTCAGTTGTTCCACATGTTTGTTCGTTGGAAGATTGAGCTTCCAGAGAACTAATGGATTTGTTTTCAGCCTCGGCTCATGTTCGACGATACGGTTTGATAACATATGAGTTCACTGAACCAGACGCTAGGTGATGATAATGCTCACGTACAGGAGTTAAAAAGAGTTGGTATTTTCTTTTGTATTTTTCCTATGCAGTTCTTGTCTTTTAGCAGTAGTTTTCTTTTGAGAAATTTCCGGAAATGAAAGCAACAGTGGAATTAGTATTGGAGTTGGCCATGGTACTATCGTCTTATGCCTCTCTCATGGCCCACAGCATTGCACAAATA